TATATATATATATATAAGTATATATTTAAGTTATGAAAAACTTGGTAATCTGTATGGGTAATCCCAAGGAGAATGAAATCCTGAGAGCTCAATGTAAATCCAGAGCTAATATTTTAAAGAAAAACAGACCACTTTAAGGTTCCATTATAATAATTTATTTCACCAGAGCCCTTTTAAAGGACTCCGGAGAAATAAATTATTATAATGGAACCTAAAAATGGTCTGTTTTTTTAAAATATATATATATATATATATATATATATATATATTTATATATAAATTTAGGTAATCCGTATGGGTAGACCTGAGGAGGATGATATCCAGAGAGCTCAATGTAAAATTCAGAGCAGATATGTTTGAATAAAAGACAGACCACGTTAAGATTCCATGTAATAAGCTATTTCACCATAACCCCTTTAACAGGGTTCTGGATCAGCAGACTTTACTTCCAAAAGCTGAAATGAAAAGAAATTCACACGTTTTTTTTACGGACCTCATCAAGTATACGTAAAGTTAACGAAGTGAGGTGGGAGAGAGGATATGAGTGTGTCATATGTATCATTTTAGTTTCCTATTTTAACCCCAGTGTGTCGGCTGGATGTTGCTCAAATTTAACGCAGCGTCTAGTCTCTAGATAAAGGTGGTTAAGGGGTGAGCGATAAGAACTACATTAAGGAAGACGTTACAACAACCCCAATAAATTACACGACAGGTTTCATTCAAATTCTTAGACGCTGTCAGTTCGCGTTACTTTAACGTGCATATTTGGGAGGTTAAGGTTTGATAAATATCTAAATTTTCAAACAATCTACGAAGAAATTAATTTGAAATTTGGTGGAGTTTTGGGTATTTTCTATGAAGCAGTCGATTGGAAAAATCCATAGACAGAACATTGAAAGAGTAATCCAATTTATATTTAGTACTTTTTTCCACTAAAACTTTTATCTTATAGCTTGTTAGCTCCCTTTAATGTAGTTCTTATCATTCACCCCTTAACCATCTTTATCTAGAGACGAGACGCGTTAAATTTGAGCAACATCCAGCCAACACACTGGGGCTAAAATAGGAAACTCAAATGATACATATGACACACTCATATCCTCTCTCCCACCTCACTTCCTCAACTTTGCGTATACTTGATGAGGTCTGTAAAAAACGTGTGAATTTCTTTTCATTTTTCATTTCAGCTTTTGGAAGTAAAGTCTGATGATCCAGAACCCTGTTAAAGGGGTTATGGTGAAATAGCTTATTAGATGGAATCTTAACGTGTCTGTCTTTTATTCAAACATATATATATATATATATATATATATATATATATATATTTATATTCATTCTAAGAGATGATTATAAAAAGATGTTGCTACACAAAAGCGTTCATGTTTCAATATACATATGTACATAAGACAAACTGATTGTAACTGTAATTATTATAATAGTGATTTTTAAAAACACAGGTGAACATGTGCAATTATAATCATTTTTAAATTTTTAGTTCATCCGATGTAGCTATGGAATTTCTTTGCAAAACAAGCATCCCAAAATAAGGGAGCTAACCAGAAATTGGCATAAATGCAAAATGGCATTAAATGTTGGTTAAATGCAATTCAACATGTGGCTGCTACACTCATAATATAATTTGTCTTTGTAATTCACACCTGAAGATGATCTGAGGAGATCGAAATTACTTAGGTAGGAAAAAACTACGGTGCCTTCCTTGATGAATTTCACCTTAACATCAAAAAAGTGATTAGAGAACTAGAAAGGATTATTATTTAAATAGATAATTCAATATATATATATATATATATATATATATATATATATATATAAAACTAAATATATATAATATATATATATAAATATATATAAAATTAATATATATATATATATATATATATATATATATATATAAATTAATAAAAATGATATATATATATATATATATATATATATATATTTATATAAAAAATTATAATATATATATATATATATATATATATATATATATATATATATATATATATATATATATATATATATATATAGAGAGAGAGAGAGAGAGAGAGGTTGGTTGTAGTTGTTCCAATAAGAGAAAAGGGTATATTTTAGAGAGAGAAGTTGCAAACGTTTTAAAATAAAGTGTAATATATATTTAAAAAATAAAATATGGAAAATAAAGTGTGAAATATATTTTAAAAAATCCACATTATAACCAAAAAGCTTTTGACTTTTCTCTTCTCTTTTTTTCATTAATTTGTTATTCTTCAAATGAATGCTACGGTATAGAATTCAATTAAAACAATTATAACAAATAATGTTCAGTCGCTTTTGTTATCTGATTAAAATATTTTCTTTTTGACAAGAAAAGACAGGCTTTCTGAATTATGCTTTTGGTGGGGAAGGGGATTTCACGTATTTATGTAGAGAATGATGAGGTGTCACCACATTTTTTTTACTGTAGGTAATGATTTTATAATAAAAAAAAAAGAGAGAAATAAAATTTTTATTTCTTTTTTTTTTTTTTTTTTTTCACTGACATATATCTTTTTAGCATGTTCCAATTCCATTGATGAAAGCATACAAACCAGCCGGCACACTTGTTTCCGAAAAGGCTCCACGTTGTTTAACAGCGTTTTTGAGTTGTCGTGTTCCAACGTGATTGGCTAATGTTTGGCAGGTAGAAAGATTACCACCAGGACTTCACCCACAGGTACAGACAAAGGATGTCTTTCGAGTGGCATCAGTTAATAGAGGAATAGAGAGAGGAAGTGGTGGGGGAGAGAAAAGAAGTGGAGAGATAGAAACAAAAAAAGAGAGAAAAGGTTAAAAAAAAAAAAATGTGAAAAAATTGTGGGGAATAAAGGAAACTTAAAGCGCAAACAAAAGTGAAAGGTAACAGTGGTAAAAAGAACGGGATATTGATGTTTATTGATGTCTGCATCATTTTTTTATTTTAAGTAAGTAACAATAAACAGTGTAACTGTGCAAGCTAATCATTCGCATGCACCTGCATATATGTCGGTATGTATGTATGTAAGTAACAAAGTGTATTATACATACAAAATGCAAACACTGCACAAGGACACGCAACTTAAAAGAAAAAAATAATTGAAATTATGAAATTTAACACACAAAAATGTATGCATAAATCTAACTTTAAAATTACTATTTAAAAAAACGAAAAATAAAACGATATTAAAACAGAAGTTAAAAAAATGATTATAAAAAAAGTTAAAAAAGGTACCTGCTAAAAAAAAAAAGTAACACATCAACTTTCAATTAATACTTTTTTAATATTTTGTTTATTATTTATTGGGCATATATGGCAAGAAAAAAATGTCATTAACTAACAACAGCCAAAGGAAAAGCATAAAAAAAACAGTAAAAACTTAAGTCGGGGATCTGCTCTAACAACTGAACATTGTTGTTTTTTTTTAAATAAGCAACTCGTTTTAAGGAAGTGTACTCAAATTTGACTCTTTTAAAAACAAATACACAACTGACTTCAGTCTGGCTTCTTAACTGAAAAATTTTCAGTGAAAATTAATTTTTTTTTTTTTAATAAAAGGATAAAATTAAAGCAAAAAACAAAAATAAAATGTTATCTTTTTTTTTAACTATATATTCAAGAATTCTAACAATTTAGTTTAGTTAGTAGTTGCATTGAATAATGCCTTTTTATTTTTATTTAAACCTCAAGAAAATCAAGTCAATTTTTAACTAAAGAAAAATTGAGTACTAATTCTTGTGCCAAAAATTAAGCAACCCAATCCAAATCCAGTGTCTTTTCACTTCTATTGGAGGAGTGTCTCCCTGACTGACCATATCTTCAGGGTGAGTGTTGTAACTGTACTCACCACACTTAGCCAATAGGGGGTTGATGAGGCTAAACCCAAGCAACCCGTGTACTGGTCAAAATTCTAAGTTGCTTAATTCGTGACTGATAGACAACAAAAAACAAAGGATTGTAATCTTAAAAAAAGAAAAAAGTGATGGGAGTATTTATTTATGAGTTTAAAAAAAAAAACAGTAATTCACACCGTCCCCAAAATGGGACAATGTGCATAGGCTTCTCTATCAATAATCCATTTAAATTTTAAAAGGATTATAGAAGCCTATTTAATACCAGTTATTATTATTATTATTATTATTATTATTAATAACACCGGATTTTACGGTGGGCCTTCTTAACGGAAACTTGTTATTGTGTTTGGGTTTTTTTTAATACCCACCCTGTCTCCTAAAACAACCATCTCTAGCTAGACTCGTGTGAACAGGCAAAGAAAGACTAAAAAAAAATGTCATATAAATCATCTTTCTTGTGTACATAATTTTGTATTCTTGTGCCTGACTAAGATTTCTGAATTAATCAAACTACGAATGAATGCCGATCGACTGAAAAAAAATACATGCTAACAAATATTTAAGATACATGTCTAAGTCTACACACAGTATAGCCAGATTATCATAACGATCACATTCCCACATAGAAGAATGAAGAGGCTTTTTTAATTTATTTACTACTACTGCCACCACGACGACGACGACGCAAATCCATCCTCCTTCCCAGTCTTTCTTGCTTTCTGGAATATACACGTCTACTTTAAATTGGAAAGAAAAGAGAAGAAAAATAGAAAAAAAAAAAGAAGAAAAAAAGCAACAAATAAAACCCAGCCCACAATTTTAATAATAATAAGAGAAAAAGAAGAAAAAAAAAGATAATTTTTCGACTTTTACGCGACATATATAAACAGAGAGCACCTTGCATTTTTTTTAAAATTGAATATTCATCTTAAAACTAAAACACAACAATCAGATCCACGGAAGCTCCTCTTTCAATTTAAAGACGTGTTTGATCTTTGTTTTGGTTTTTAACAACAAGAAAAGATTGCCTTTGTTGATTCTTCTCTTTGGATGAGTTTGTGAAAGTCATTTGTTTTCTTTTTGTGTTTATTTTGAGCTGCAAGGAAAGAACTAAAAAAGCAATCATCGTCAACATGAAGAATTTGTTGTGCTGTGTTTTGGCCCTTTCATTCTTTTTGGTTGAAGCCGACAAAGAATCGCTCCGTCGTGCTTCTTTTAAAACTTTCGAAGATCATTTCAAAAACGGAGCCCACAACCCTGAATTCGATCATTTAGCAATTTTAGGTGAGTAAAAAGAAAAAAATTAAATTTAATTTTAAAATCATTTTTAATTTGGATTCAGTGGTTGTTTTTTTTTTTTTTTATTTTAGCAGAAACATTTAAAAAAAATCCTCTCGTCATATGATCGATCATTGTAGCAAAATTGGGGAAGTATATTTTTTTAGTTTCTGGTTATGAATCTTTAAGGAAAAAAAATAATAATAAAGGCTTCCAGTGTCATTGTTGTTGAAGAAACCAGTTAGTTTTTTACCATTCGTTTTTCCTTTGAATAATTCAGATAAAAATAAACGGTTGAAACCGAAAAATCGACAAATGCAAAAAAATAATTTAGATTTATTTTTACTTTTTTTTAAGCATTTATTATTGAAATTATTTACAATTTTAAAATTATTATTATTATTTTTTTTTTCAGGTTGAAATTTTTTATGTTATTGCTAAAAAAAAATTAACATTATAAAAAAAAGTCGATATCAGTTACTTAACTTTTAAAATAAAAGTATTTTGTTTAAAAAAAAAAAAAAAGTAAAAACGGTTTTTTTACTTTTAGTTTTAAAAGGCGATTGAATTAATTAATGACTTAGAGAAAAAAAAGTTTTACTTTTTTTGTTCTTGTACATTTTTTCTTTTCTTTTCCTTTTTTCGTATCCAGAACGTAAAAAACACAATGTTTTTTTGTTTTTTTTAAATACCTTGTTTATCCGGCCGGAGTAAAATAAATAAATCTACTATTAAGTTTTAAATAATTTGTTGTAAAAAACAAGTGGGTTAATAAAAAATAAAAAAAAACTGAAAAAAAATAAAAGAGGCCAAAATATAAAAATTACGTTCGTTTTCTTTTTTAATTAGTAATTAATTCTGACCCATACAAGATATCTATATTTAAATATTTTAGTATGCTCATAATCGATTTTGACCACATAATGATCGATCTATTAACGAATTTTACCTACACTGGGGTTACCCACAATTTACGTTTGATCGAATTGTCCATTTCTCCCTGATACACTTGACTTGACCTAAAGGAGTTTTTTGTATGTAAAGTTTACATTTTAAAAAACATAATTTAAAATAAGAAAATAATGTATTTTGTTTACAAAAAAAAAGTAATGAAACTAGAAATACCTTCTGTAATAATAGTAATCAGTTCTTTTATTGTTGTGGTTTAAGCAAGACGAAGAGTTGTCACGTTTTTTCTAGTGGCCTTTGGACGAAAGCATTGTTTTAAATTTAGCTGGAAAAAATGTCGAGATAAAAAAAAAATCTTGAAAAACAATAATAGGGCTTTTTTGTTCAAATTAAATTCTAGCTTGCTTGAAACAAAAAAAAATGTTTATTACGAAAAATATATTTCTTAAAAACACTTCCTTTGAGAAAAAAGATTTATTTTCAAGAAAACCCGTTGCTTTCATAATTATCGTAAATTTTAATTAGATAATTATTAAAAAAAAAGTTTTCTGTCTCTTAAAAAAAAATATCACTGATGTACAATAAGGTATTTTACAATTGTTTTATTTTCAACAAATCGGAATTTAAACAGATCGCCAGTTAGACAGACAACTTTTCATTTTATGAATTTTTTTTATGTTTGATATTGTTCTTTTTGGTTGAATCGATGACTGAGAATCTTAATAACTGTTTAAAATTATTTTTTTAATTTAAAAACGAGATCGTATCAAAAAGACATATTTTATGAGGTGGTAAGTGCAAGGTCTTTCGAAGAAGATATAAAAAAAAACGAGAAAACAAAACAAAAAAAAAAAACCCAAAAGACGAAAAAACAACAAAAAAATAACTGATGTGCTCATTTCCACTGATATTGTGCAATGCGCCAGTGAGGATCGAACTCGCTCAACTCAATAATAGTTAAGTTAGTGTTCATTCATATCAGCTCGCTAATCATAGCCCATGCCAGGAGGCCCATCTTTTGATATTTTGGATGTTCGGTCAGATTTTTGGAGATGAACCAGTCCAAGATTTTTTTTTTCCTTTTTAGCTCCACCTCATGGACATTTTACGATTTTTTTTCTGACCTCTAGATTATTTGTTAATCATTTCACCCCAGGCAAGGCGATAAAACCACTAAGACGTATGAGGTGACTGAGATTGAAAAATTCTGAGAAAAATCATTAAATAAAGGACAATAAAAGAACAGGATTCAGTGAGACAGAAAATGAGGTTGACATTGTGTTTAAATTTATTGACTGGAAAACAAGAGGACGGGAGAGAATTCCAGAAGTGAGAAGTGCAAGAGAAGAAACTGTTAGCATAGAACTTACGGTTCGGGTTACATCTCGCAATTCCAACTGTATGAAACTTTGCTACCAATCTAGTATTGCGCTTAAACTGGTAAAGTCCAAGTACCAACAAGGAAAGTTCATCTGAATAGTTACCATAAAAATATTATAGAAAAGGCATGAGGAAGCTATGTTACTTCAGTGGGAAAGTGACTGAAATTGAGATGCTAGGCCAAGACCAACAACATTGCTGATTCTATAGATACACTATAATATAGAAGTGTAGTTGATATATATTTTAGTGATCTTAGATCTCCAGGAAAAAAATGTGAAGTATCCAAACTGTAATTAATTTCTGTAAAACTGATTTATTTTTTAATTACTGTTTTTGTTTTGTTTTTTATTGTTTTTTGTTTTGTTTTTTTTTTTTTTTTTTTTTTTGTTTTTTTTGTTTTCCAATGAAGCATGATAACAATATTGAAGAAAAATATCTCTAGAATTTATAAAAATCAGCATGGTGAAAATTTAAAAAATTCTTGCATTCATATTTACAATTTAGCTTCCTCTTCTCTACACACACACACACATTAATCTTCATCCCCAAGTGTCCCTTTATTTTTTTCTTTGTTTTCTTTTATGGAATTTAATTTCTCAAAATGTAAAATAGTTTCATTGCCTAAAAAAAAAAAAAATGATCCAATAATTATAGTTATTGGTTGTTTGATTTCTCCTTTCCTAACATGAATGAACAATTTGTCCAAAAATAGGGTGGTGTCTGGGAATTAGCAATTAATTTTTTTTTTTTTTTTTTTTTTTTTCCCTGGTAATATTTAAGAGATGTAAAATTTTGAAGCTGAGTAACTAAATCATCACTAAACACTTCCCATTATTTTATCTTATTTTTTGATTTCATCAATAAATACAAACTATTTCAGTTGTGATACTGATTTAAGTCTGGCTAAATACATGTTCAGGAAAATTAGAGAGAAGTTTGGTTTGGTTGTTTTTGTTTAGTGGCATATCAACACCTCTATGGGTTATTTAATGCCAAAATTTAAATTATTTTGAATGCAGTTTTATTTTTTATTTTATTTTTTGAGATAATAATGATAGAAGTTTTACTAATTAACCTATAGCTGAGGGGAGAAACGTTTGTAAATAAAATGTATTTTCTGTTAAATAGAATTTCTATTCTGAAATTTTTTGATACCAAAAATGGGCCACAACAAAGAAAATTTCAAGAAACACTGATTCGTTTTTTATGGGAAATCAACTCTTTGCAGGTTATTTAAAGCCAGAAAATATTTTTAGATTGTAAAATTTTGAGATAATAATGATTTAGTGATAGAGAAACACCAGTTCCTATATGATCACCAAAGTTAAGCAACATCGAACATAGCCAATACTGAAATGGGTGACTGCTTTCGAATACCAGATGCTGTAAGCTTGGATGTTTGGCTGTTGTAGTGGATAATGTCTCTGAATTGTTAATTGAACAGCTGAATTCCAATTACTGTTTGGTTCATTATATTAACTTACATATAAATAACCTTGGGGAAATTCACCCCAGTTATGTTTTATGTTTTAATTAGTAAGACTTCTATCACTAAACCATTATTATCTCTCTCAAAAAAATTCTTACAATCTAAAAATATTTTCTGGTTTTAAGTAACTTGCAAAGGGTTAATCAACCAAAGAAAATAAATCAATAAACTGTTGTTGGATATGCGTCACCTGTACTGCATAAGGTCAAAGTTCAAGTTTTTTCACTTAGGTTTTCTCTACATAAATCTTTAGTTGACACTGTAGCTGGATTTATTTTTTTCCTAATCCTTTATTGCTAGTTAACAATAATCCTAATTCACTCCAAATTGTATAAAACCTATAACCTGATGTTCATCTAATTCATCTACACCCACCAATTACTATATGATTAGGTTGAGTTGTAAGTAATTTCCGTTTTTGTGCACCAATTGTAATGCCGACTGTATCATCCTAACTAATAATTATAGGTGGAAGTTCAAAGTGAATTTGGAGTACACTAACATGACTTAGTTTTTGCATGTCAATAGCAGCATGCACAGTAGTTTAAAGGCAGAATATTGTCCTACACCATGACAACAGAAAGCTGCATACAGCAGAAAAAAAAACACGTGGAAACATTTTGGAATTCATTAGGTCTGTTCTATCTCACCTGCCATATTTACCTGGCCTTGTATTAAATGATTGTTAAATTTTTCTGTTGCTGCAAGACCCTTTGATGAAGAAAACTTTCTCTAATGTAAACCAGATGAAAGGGTTTGTTAGAAACATAAAAGATATCAAAGAACAGCTTAATAAGTGGCAACAAATCCTTGCAAATAATGGTGAATATCATCATGGCTTGGCTTTGCTAAACAAAGATCAAGAAAGAGTCTGTACATGTCACTTGCAGGCACATTTGTGACTGATAAGTTCGGTGTGGGACAGGCATACACAGTCACAGCAGTTGGAGATGAAAGTCCGGCATGGGCTCTATGGCATAGTGTTGCAGTACTTCCTCCTCTGCTTCTTGTCCCTGAGATCAGCCCTGCAGGTATTTTCAAAGAGGGTTGGTGATAAGACGCCAGACGTCATGGTTCTTAGCTACAGTAATGGTGAATATATAATTAAATAAAATGTCATTGTACTTTACTTTTTTTTCTTTTTTTTTTAAGAATAAAATTAATAAAAAAAAATAATTTATGACTCAATAGTTCATATTTAAAATAATTTATTATTTGCATTTTA